CCATAAAACCATCTGGGCCTAGTGCCTTTGTAGAGGGATGAGTTTTCTGCTTCATTGGCTGCTTTCTACTTCTGTCAGTTTTTGTTATATCTACAGACATAAATGGTAATCTGCAACTACCAGATTATCATGCATACCTTGTCATCAAGATGCTTAGTCATCAAGCACTAAATGCTACTGGAAACCCCACCTCAACCAGTCATTGTGACGGACCATTAAGGGTCCCAGACAATTCATCCTAGGGGGATGGCAGCAACCTAACTAACCACAAAAATTTATTCCTAGAAATTCTCTTATTATTTTAAAATTCTCTAAATCTGTGCTTATATATGTTCTTTATACTATTCCTACATGTTGTGTTTTTTCCTCTTTTCTTGATCAGAATTGTCAGAGATCTTTAAAAAAAAAAGTTTTCATTGTAAGGGTCAAGTCTATTTTTTTAAACTTCCTTATTTCTACTTTTATTTTTTTCTTTAACTAACTGAAATGTAACACACATACCATGAAGTATGTGAAGTATACTATCTGCTTTTATCTTTATTCCTCTCTGTTACTTTCTTTTGGTTAAGTTTTAGTCTTTCTTTTTTTTTTATAACAAATTGAAGAATATAAACTTTCTCCTAAGTATCACTTTGGCCAAATGTTACCAGTATTTGTATGAAATGTTTCTGGTACTGTTAATTAATTTCTAAGTAGAAAAATAAGAAAAAAAAAAGATAGGCCGCTCACAGACTATATAACACTAATGAACAAGATGCTCAATTTCACTAGATCACACAAAGGCCAAATGCAAAGGACACTTTTTTGGCTTACCATGGTGAAAAACATTCAAGAGTATTAATATCCCAAGTTGGCAAAGGAATGGGAAAGTGTGTGCTCATAAACAATCAAGCAGGGCAATTCAGCTCCACCAGTTAGATCTAGACAGGTACCCGCACTCTGGCTGCCTAATTCTACTTTCTATCAATGCCTTTTAAGAAATACTCTTATAAGCATGTAAGAGTATGTGTATAGAATGTCCACACCAGCTTACTTTATAACAGAGAAATACTGGAAGCAACATAAATATCCATCTACTAGAGAATGGAAAAATGAGCCGTGGGATATTTAACAACCATTAAAAAAGAATAAGGTAAGGCAGATCTTTAAGAACTAAAACAAAATTGTACCCATGATCTATAGACAAGGTAAATTAAAAACAAATAAACAAGTGTGCAAAACAGTTTGTAAAATACATTTTATGTTAAAAACAAACAAAACAATCTCACACAGTCACTTTTTTTTTTTTTTTTTTTTTTTAAATAAAGACAGCAAAGGACCTTAAGTTGACACTACACTTTCAAACTGTGGACATCTCCAGCAACTGTGAGTAGCCGAGAGGTGAGAAGACTTGACCATTTTACTTGTATTCACTTCTATATTTTTTGAATTTTTTTTTCCTGTGAGCTAATACAAATACACTCTTAAAATGCAATGTAAACAATCTCCCATCCCATCCCTCATACTGTAGTTTCTTGAATTATAGTAAGGAGGGCTGAAAGCTCTGGTAGTCTCATTAGCATGGCCTTTTGAGAACTGATGAATTAATTTCTAAAAGCTGCCTAAGATAAAGACCTTAGTGGAAAAGCAGAAAAGACTGACTATGTATTAATCCATGATCTAATCTGCAGACTTGCCTCACATTTACCAACTTTTGCAAGCATTGCTTCCAGGCTACAGAGAAACTGGCAGAGCCCATTTTCATATTTAATGCCTCAACTCCTTTGTCTGAAAGCTCTTTGAGTGATCCAAGCAGCTCGCCTGGAGGCAGGCACACCCCACAGGCTGTGGTTCAATTAAATCTGCTTCCCGCACCACCCACTCTTTTAACAGTTAGCCCAGTATTGCAGAACTAAAAGAAACCAAAGCAAAGGAGGAGATGGGAGGTCTTAAGTCCTCCGTGGCAGTTTCCTCCTTAACCTAGAGATCTCTCTTGAGTTGGGATAGAAAATTCCTGCATTTGGGGCACCTTGGTGTCTCAGTCAGTTGAGTGGTTGAGCGTCCAGCTCTTGGTTTTGGCTCACGGTTTCAAGAGTTCGAGCCCCGTGTTGGGCTCTGCACTGGCAGTGTGGAGCTTGATTGGGATCCTCTCTCTCCTTTTCTCTCTGCACCTCCCCACTCTGTCTCTCTCTCAAATAAATACATAAACTTAAAAAAGAAAGAAAGAAAGAAAGAAAGAAAGAAAGAAAGAAAGAAAGAAAGAAAGAAAGAAAGAAAAGAAAAGAAAAGAAAAGAAAAGAAAAGAAAAGAAAAGAAAAGAAAAGAAAAGAAAAGAAAAGAAAAGAAAAAAGAAAATTCTTGCATTTGTCAGCCAAGGAGACCAGTCCCCATTTATGAAGTCTGTCTGACTTTCTCATTTTCTTCCTTCCAAAGGCTGAGCAGCTAATCTTATAGTTGGTCCAGATCAAGCCTCTGAAAGAGAGAAAGAATTATAATCTCCTTCCTCCTCGACACTAAAAATGCTTCCTTGAGAACCAGTTTGAAACAGAGCATTACATTAATTACTTGCTTTTTAAGGGTTAGTTTCAGTATGATTTATTATTAAACAGCTGAGAACTCATTGGTGCTCTACTCCACTTGCTCTATATGTTTTAATTAAAAACCCACCAATGTGATTAGAAGACTCAATACAGTTAAGATAGCTCCCCCAGATTGTTATATAGATTCAACACAACCCCAATAAAAATCCAGCAGGATGTTTTGTAGAAATGAACCAGCTCACTCTAAATTTTTGTATTGAAAGATAGAGGAACTAGAATATCTAAAACAATTCTGAGCAAGAATAACAACATGACAAAGGCAACAAGGATGGTCTTCAACACATCATGCTGAAATAACTGGATATCTATGTGCAAAAAAATGAATTTTGAAGCATACCGCACACCATATTCAAAAATTAACTCAAAATGGGTCACAGATCTAAACGTATACCTAAACTTACAACATTTCTAGAAGAAAATATAGGAGAAAATAGTTGTGACCTTATCCACTTATCCACATTGAACTTCATCAAAAATGAGAGCCTCTGCGCTTCAAAAGACACTGTTAAGGGAATAAAGAGAGAAACCACAGACTAGGAGAAAATCATGTATCTGATAAATAGTATGCAAAACATACAAAGAACTCTCACCACTCCATAAGAACACAAACAACCCCCCCCCTTTTTTTAATGAGCAAGAGTTGAACAGACACTTCATTAGCCATATGGATGGCAAATAATCACATTAATAGGTGTTCACTTCACGAGTCATTAGGGGAATGCAAATTAGATCCATAATGAAATATCACTAGGCACCCTATTAGAAGGACTATAATTCTGAAAACCTGACAATATTAAGTGCTGGGAGGAGACATAGCAACTGTAACTCCAATGGAAAACCAAAACGGAATAAGCACTCTGGAACACGGTGTGGCAGTTTCTTACCAAGTGCAGCACATAATTCAACTAGGACCCAGCAATTCCATTTCTAGTGTTTTCCCAAGAGAAACGAAACCGACATTCATACAAAAACTTGTATGCAAATGTTTATAGTAGTTTGATTTGTAATCGCCAAGGACTATAAATGACCTAAATGCCTCTCAACTAGAGAATGCATAAACTGTGGTGCATCCATACAATGGAATACTACTTGGGAATGAAAAGTAACAAGTTACTGGTACACACAACAACACGGATGAATCTCGAGTGAAATTACGCTAAGTGAAAGGGGCCTGACTCAAAGGGTACATACTGCAGGCTTCCCATTTATAGGACATTCTGGAAAAGGCAAAATTCTTGGAACAGACATAAAAGTAGTGGTTGCCAGGGGTAAGGGAGGGGTGTGGGACTGGCTATAAAGGGACACAAGGGAGTTTCTGGTGTGATAAAGCCATTCTCTATCTTGAATGTGGTGGCAGTTATATAACTGTATTTGTCAGACTTCACGGAACTGTACACAAAAGGGGCAGTTTATTGTATTTAAATTATAACTTTTTTTTTTAAAGCTCCAAATGGAAACCATAAAAAAACAAAACAAAACAACCACTATAAAAATGACCACAAAGTTTCTGCATGCTGGAAGAGAAACCTCTTAAACAGGACCATTAAAAACAAGGTCTACCACGTCATACACATACGCACATGTCCTCTTTGCCACCCCCTACCCTCTGACAGGCCCAGCAGAGGGCAGTTCCAAACAAACCATCGCAACCCCCATCCTTACCGGAAGCGTGACTGTCTTAGCATTGAAAGGAGGCACAAATAATACCCCACGAAGGACCTAGTACCTGAGAGCTATAAAGAGCTGGGAGAGGCCACAGAAGTTCCTTCCAACTGCAGGGGGAATGGCACTGCCCCTTCTTACTCTTCCTTAGAACGAGGCTGTCACACACTCTCCAGCAGTGCGCTCACCCCCTGTCGTGACCGCGTTTACATCGTCTGCCTGGCTGTCCGTCCTGCGGCACTCACTCCCTCACGGAGGAGACGGAATTTTGCAGAGGCAACGAAAGTAGGCCAAGGCGACAGAGCACTCTAGTTACCGGGTGGCAGCCAATCACGGGCCCCTCCCCAGGAGCGTCTCACTGTGAGGTCAGGACTCAAAGCAGAGCCTGTGCCGTCAGCCTGCCCCCAAAGGGACTGACTTGTTGGGCTTGTTTTTCCACAGCCTTAACTTGAGGGTTTATGACTGGATACCCCAAATCAAGCTCCACTACTCTGCGGGCCATTTCTCCTTCCACGGTTCTTACCTGGTCTGACCTAACCACCTCCTTGCTTCGCGTGCTGAAGGGTGGTGAGCCAACTCTACCTAACACGGGGCATTGACAATGAAAGCTCATAATCAACACCCACCACCCCCAACTGCTATGACACCCAGCTCCCTCCTCCCAAGGAACATCATCCTCTCCTTCCACTCAGGATCACAAACTTTAAAAAACCCTTTCAAGGTTGTCTCTGATGGGAGCGGGGTGGGGTGGGGGTGTACCTTTTGGTCTTCCATCCACGGATACCAGCTTCTTTGTTTCTGCTGTTAACAAGAGCTCATAAGGATGCTCGTCCTCTTCCCTGGCTGCACTTCCCTGAATCCAGGGTCTCATGGCCAAGACCTAAGAGAGAAGACACCACAGAACTTCTCATGTGGGTGGCTAATACCAAGGCAGATTATGTTGAACAAATTCAAGATCCCTGGCTCCTTTTTCACCGGAGAGGAAGAAGGGGGGAGGAGGGGTGGGAAGAGAAGTAAATAACTCAGTGTCACGTGAAACCACAACTGCTTTTCTGGATATGCACCTGCACCTCAAATCTCAATGGCCTTTGATTAAAACACTCCCCTTTCCTTACCTCATTATATCCTTCAAAAAGCCATTAATAAAATCCAAGATCCTTCCTTCTCTTGCTTCTCCCATCATAACAGTATTCTGCATGGTCTCTTTGGGGTGGATAGTAGCTTCCAAGCCGTTTTTAGCTATGGTGCATCACAAAAGCCTCCTTCCTCCACGATTCTTTCTTAATATGCACACATACTACCCCAAGGCTGGAATCCTTCCCACCTTCTCAGGAGGGAATCAAATGACTTCTGACTGACCCTGAATGACTGACCCTTACTAGAAACTAGAAACAAAGTGCTCTATTGGTCCTTCTCTATTTTTGTGAGCCTTTCTCTGCAGGTCCTGGGGGTTATGGGGAAGTTTCTCTCAAAAGCCGGCTTCCTACTGCATTTATGGTAATACAAGTTTAAACTAATTCCACCCATCTCTGTTCTGAAAAGAGTCAAGTGGCTAGGCAGTATGAATTTCAGTGCAGAAAAAGCAGCTCTGTCTATGGGGAAATCCCTGACCTAGGCAGCCAAGCGTCTCTGCTAAGAGAATTGGCCCAGGGCTGGCTCCTACACCTGCCAGGCGGGTCTAGGCAGCTGAGGGCCTTGTGGCCACAGCTGGTCATGGCACCCAAGGAGCCACACTTCCTCCTCACATTGAGCCAGAAACACCATCATCAGTGCTACAGTCACACTGAGAGAGGGAATGGAGATCCCCGATTTAGAGGACAATTCTGCCTCATCTGTCGTAAGAATCCAATGTGTTTCGTAGGCAAATTAAGAATAATCACGTATCAGCTATTGTGAGAGCAAGGCAAAGCACAAAATGTCCCCTTGAGCAGTTTGGCTAGAAGTGATATATTATGAACAGAGGGGTTCAGAGGGATTCCCACGTCTGCCTAACAAACAACGGTACCCTACGAATGTGACTCTTTGGCACATGCAGAAGCCTCTCCTTCAGGCATGTCCCACAGCTCACTGGAAATGAACCAGGTTTGTGATTCATCACGGTTTTGCTTCTTGGAGATATAGCTCACTGCGTTACGGCCTAATGAGACATCAATGATTCCAGGAGCCTCAGACTAAATAAGAGACTGCGGCTCCTGCTTGTTAACAAGGCTGCCACTCTAAAGGCAGAATGATAGTCTCTTTCCGAAATTCTGCTAGGCATAGCAGGAACCTCCACTTACTGAAAGCCACCTGGAAGCTAAAAGCTATTTCATTACAACGAGCCATTTGCCTGTATTGCTTAATTACTTTTGCCTCTTCGTGGGAACACAATTAAGGGAACAAAGAGGGACCATTAAGCAGTTCATACAGGGTCAACTTAATACCACAGGCTTTACAGACAGGAATTTGGGTTCTTCAGGTTTACACACCCACAGCTATCCCTGAGCTGGAGCCCTGGAAAGCTGAGTCTGTAAGTGTTCTGGACACAGCAAGAGCACTCATATAGCCGCAGGCATGCTTCTCTGAAAGGTAGTTGACAGCTTGGATGCCCAGCCCATACTGTCCTTTCTTCTCAAGCAGGACAGCTGATTACTTCCATGTGGAAAATCAGGCCCACTGGACCCACGTTCACTCTGTGCCTGCTCCCGGGCATGACAACTAGAAGCAAAAACCCAGCAAGTGCTAGAGCTGGGAGGGACCCGAACCACTACAGTCACAGCTAGAGAGCACCCAGCCCCAGCTCTTTCATTCTGCAGATGCCCAAACCCAGTTTCCAGAGAGGTCTAGGGACTTGCCCAAAGTTACACAGAGAGCAACCAGCAGAGGCAGGACCATAAAATTCACTTCCCCTGGTTCTGGACCAAGATGGTCTCATTTTTCCTGAGAAGGATGACTTTCCATCCAATCTGGAACTCTTTCCTTCCTTCAGATACCTTGTGAGAGTCCCCTGTTCACATCCAGACAACTTCTACAGGGATCTCTTCCTTAGTCCTGGCTCCTGCCAGCTGTGGGATTAAAATCTCATAATAAAGCAATAGACTGCTTTTCTTGGAGCCTTCCTAACTCCCACTCAAGAAGTGGATTGTCACAGTGAATATGGCAGTAACTGATTTTCAACAGAAAAGATTCTGCTTTTTACTCAATTATTCCTTAATCTTTTCTCCCCTTTCTTCTAGGGCTGGCAATAAACCAAAGCCAAAAAGCTGCATTCTCTGTTACATGGAAAGCAACATTTTTGCTGCAGAGAGAAGCTACTACCAGTCAGCACCTAACTGTGACCAACTGAATGACCGGCCGGGGTGTGGGCAGTTTTCTGGGAAGGGATACCATAGCAGCTGCAACTTCCCATATTCCCATGAAGGTTTCACACATCTGAACATAGAGAAGATCATGGTCAGTCTGATGTAGCTGGCAGCCCATTTGGTGGGGCAAAAACATCTCAACGCGTGTGTGCACGTGCATGTGTATGTGTGTAATTTCTGGAAGCCAGTTTCATGACCTGGTAGTTAATCTGATAAGCTCTTCTGGAGCCAGCTACACTCAGCTTCCCTCCAAGGTTTCTATGGGTCATCTCACAGTGACGAGCCTCAGGAACAGGACACAAACACTGAAGCAGATTGCCTGCCAAACAGAAGTCTAAACTATGATGAGCCAGCGCCTCCTAGGATATGAGGTGTAGGGTAGTAAAGTTTTGGCGGTATAAGAAATAAAGATAGTGAAGATCAGAGTCCGCTTTTGGAGAACATCTATTCATTCACACGACAAACAGAATCTGCCTTGATCGTCACAAGGATAATGGCCCATATCACATCACCTCTGTATTTAGGTACTTAAAATCACTAAGTAAGCAAAGCCAGGGTTCTCATGGTCTTCTAACTTCTGACTGCCGTGGTCCAACTGACCCAGAATTCCAGACTATTCAGAAGCAAGTCCTAGAAGTATCTCAGAGTCTCCCACCCAGGAGACAAATGGAGATTTCTCCCCCTATCTCTTGACACCGTTATTGACAAATTATATGCTCTAAAAAGCCCTGGGAGAATAGAAAGTCCTTGTTATCTAATATTTCTTTAAGAGCCTTGCTCTTATCCTTGGGTATTAGGAATTTTAATCCAAGTCCTTGTTAAAGAGGTGGCATAAGGCATTCATAGAGACCTAGCCCCAACTGAATATGCTCCATATTACCAGGTTTTCCCTTATAAAAGGAGAGTAATAAAGCAAATCTCTATATAAAAACATGCAGGGATTTGTTCCATGCATTTCTATCTTCTAGCAATGTATTATTACCCTAGAGGCTGTAATTCTAGAGGCCTCTTACTTGAAACATGATAATAAGCATTTTGTAATTAAGGGATAGAAAAAAACAAGGACAGAATTTATACCTAGCATAAAAATCTTCCCCTATTTCCAACACTGACTTTTACATTCTTAAAAGTGCTTCCTTGTATTTATACATTTTGTGAAACTAAAGCCATCCTTCTGCTTCCATGTGCTCGTATTAGATAAAAAAAACCTGTCTCACAGGATGGTCTGTGGCAGTACAATAAAAAAGTTAACTCTGACTTCTAGCGATAAAGTAATGAGACTTAACTGACTAGTTTATATTACCTGATTTTTAAATGAAAGAACTACAGGGTATTGAACAAGCTATAAAATAACAAAATTACATAATACTTTGAATCAGTGCTGAATAAACATGGTCTCTGAATGGTGGCATGTATTAAAGGGACATTCTGAAAATGAAAGATCATGGAAAATATGATTTTCTTCATATAACTAACCCCATGAGAAGGTACAACTATTTGCCTCACGATAAGATTTCTTTTTTAAAAAGGTGGACTAGTCTTCTCAAATAACCTTCTTTCTTTGACTCCTCCCACCTCCATGAATCTTACTTCTCTTCTAATTGAGCCTTTATGACATTTCCCATGTTTGTCCTGGTGGATTCTTCATGTGAAATGAAGAAGGAAAATGTGAAAACAGAAAGACGACTTTTGGGGCAGAGTCACCAAAGCTTGCTAATATGACGCAGTCTACAGACAGTGATTAGGGGCAAAGTCTACGTTTTGGATCAAAAGATGACACAGGTACGAAAGCAGAAAGGCAAACTGTGTAGATACTGGAGCCAGGAGAACTGTGCGTGGTTTACCTTCAATGTGCAAGGCAGATGGGTAACTGGCCCGTCTGCCAGACAGCTCCATTAAAATTCTTTGCTTACTACTTAAGTGAGTTTGAAAGATCTTGTTCCAGATTACTGATGTGCACAATACAAATGTACTAATCCAAAGGGGCGCTAAGAGAATGAGAAAGCAGAGTCTTCTTTAAGCACACACTGATGGACCTTCCGAAACCTCGTGCTTCAGTGATGGCAATAAACCCTCAACCCTCTACCTCAGAAGCTGTCAATGGAAAATACTTCTTATCTATACGGTCTTCCTCCTCTTCATCAGGTGGTGGCTTTGCTGGAGGCGGTGGACGTTCCCTCTGCAGAAGAGAAAAAGTAAGTATTTCATGATCTCTTTTTTCAAGTACCTAACTTGTTGATTTATTCTTACCTTAGCCCTTGGAAATGAAAAAGAATAATGTAAAGAACTCCCCCGAGAGACTAAACTTAAGGATCAGTATTTAAACAGATAGCTTAGTATTTGCACGTGCACACACACCCCACCCCCAGCACAAAATTCAGTCAGCACACTCCTTACTTTTTGATGTCTGTAGCAGAGATTATACACTTTTTTCATATTCTAGACCACAGTGAGAAATATCAGCACTGAAACCACACAACTGCCTAGCCAGAAAATGTCCTTCATAATACTAATAAAACTCTAGCCTAGGAAAACCAGTCAGCTGTCAGTCTATGTCAAAAAGAGGAAATAGTAAATCCAGAGAATCACCTTGTCAATGAGTTCTAACAAACCAAAGCTACCAAGGAAGTAATGAGGAGAGAAATCAAGGACAAAAACACCAATTCCTGCTCAAACTTTAATGCTACCCCCAATCTTTGGTTTATTCCCCAAAGCTCTGAACTGGTCTCTTATCCTTGGTCACCTCCTTCAATGATTACTATTATGTATCATTAGTATATGGAAACTTTATTTCTTTTTAAAATTTTTTTTTACTTTGACAGAGAGAGAGAGAGAGAGAAAGAGCTGGGGGAGGGAGGGCGTGTGTACACACAGGAGAGATGCAGAGGGCGAGGGAGACAGAGAGGGAGAGGGAGAGGCCTGGCATGGAGCCTGACACAGGGCTCTATCTCACAACCAGAGATGATAACCTGAGCTGAAATCAAGAGTCGGATACTTTAACTGACTGAGCCACCCTGGCACCCCTGAAAACCCGATTTCATCTCAGCCCATTTAAAAAAGGAATATTTGTCAGTTACCTGTTCTAGAGCAAGGATTGGCAAGCTCCTTCTTAAAGGGCCTGACGGTAAATATTTTAGGCTTTCCAGTCAACCCTGCCATCGCAGTACAAAAGTAGCCATAGAAAACATGTAACAGAATGTGGCTGTGTTCCAATAAACCTTTATTCACAAAAATGGGCAGCTATGTGTGGGCCGTACTTTGCCAATCCCTACCCTAGAGCAAGAAACACCCTGAAGCAGGGATCAGTTAGGTCGAGGGTAGACAATTTCAGAAACACATACAATCTTTGGTGACAGAAAGCTGAAGAGAGGTTCGCCATTGTACCTGCAGTTACTGTCAGCATTGTTTATAGTGCAAAGTCCTAATCATGTTTCATAACCAACATTCCTACAGGGAAAGGAGTGGGAACCTGGAATGGGAACTGGCTTGCAGGCTCATTCCCTGGCTTGTACGTTAGTTCGCTGTGTTGCTAGAACAGCAGTATTTTTTAAAAGTCAGAGTGGAGGCACATGCTGAATTACAGGAGAGTCTCAGAGAAGTCTGCACGATGTCTCCCACATCTCAGGAGCCGGCAGGGTCAGTTAGCATTTGGCATCCATGATCTCTCTCCGTTAAAATGTGCTTCAGCACTTGGTATTCTACCTTCATAAATCAGTCATTCCTACAGTCCCTGGAACCAGATGGATGCCCAACAGCAACAACTTCAAAACACGTTCGTATTTTCAAGCCAAACAAAGCTTTTAGATGAGATTTCCCACTGAGTCCTGCTTTCTCCACCCGTCTTTACTCCAGAAGTGCAGAAACAACCTTGCTCCCTTCCACGTGCCACCTTGTAGGGAGGGGAACAGCAAAAGGAGCAGGCCTGTAATCTACACCAATTATCCAACCTTGGGACAAAAATACCCGTGGAAAAACAAAATGATACACAACAACGACCAAAAGGACCCATCCTAGAGCCCTTCTCAAGACTAGAGGAGCCTAGAAAGGACGATACGAACACCTCTTGCACAAGAAGTGGTCACCAGGGACACTGGAAGAAAAGAGAGGCAGCAGCCTCTTTTTTCTAACGTGAAAACTTTGGCCCAGGGACCTGTAAGTACAGAGCTGATTTACACACCATCCACTGCATGTGTAAGATGCAGAACAGTCCCTTGGCCACAGTTAATTACCAAGGGCCAGGAAGGTAGTGGCACAGTCACCACATACTCAAGGAAAAATGGCAAAGCATGCACTCCAAGAGGCATCAGTTTCTACTTAGCAAGACCATCGATGGATACATTCCTAGAGTGGGATGGAACAAAGAGACTATAAATCAGTGGCTAAGCCCGCAGGAACTTGGTTATTCAAAGCTTTCTTCCCTAACCCTGTGTTCTTCTTGTAAAGCCTCTAGCTCCCTCTAATGGGCATCACCTGTAAGTGCCACAAAGCAATGCCTTCCTCCACAGGTGGATTTGCTTAATTCCTTGTACCTAAGGCGAAAGTGAGACCAACCAGCTCTGTCTACAGAAGCACCATGCCAGAGGTGCTTGGCATATGTGTGTGCTCCCACCATTCACAAGGAGTTGAATTAGCCCTTGATAATACCTACTACTCTGGTGGGCTACCACAAGACTGGTGGGCTTTTCCAAAATCCAAGCAGAAACGCTGGGACTATTCTAGGACCACTCTAGGAGCCTAATGAAAAAGAACACTTAGAAGCATCAGGCCCATTCCCAGGGAACATCTGAAAAACCCAAAGATCACCTAGGAGCCAAAGGCTCATCAAAATGGTCATAAGGCAAATTTACACCAAAAGGGAAAAGTCAGCCTCTCCAACAGGAAGAAATGATATACACCTGGAAATATGCCCCAAGCTGGGAATCACTGGGATTCTATTAGAGCAATGGCCAGTTTAGTAAAAGTGTGGTGCTCAAAACCTCAAATTATTGTGCCTGGCCATGTAGGAAGGAAGTTCCCATGGGACTGCTGATTGAGGCTTGGGCTCAGAGGAAAACTGTGACGGAGAAAAAGGTAATAAAAAAAATTTTTTTGGGGGGGCGCCTGGGTGGCGCAGTCGGTTAAGCGTCCAGCTTCAGCCAGGTCATGATCTCGCGGTCCGTGAGTTCGAGCCCCGCGTCAGGCTCTGGGCTGATGGCTCAGAGCCTGGAGCCTGTTTCCGATTCTGTGTCTCCCTCTCTCTCTGCCCCTCCCCCATTCATGCTCTGTCTCTCTCTGTCCCAAAAAAAATAAATACACGTTGAAAAAAAAAAATTTAAAAAAAAAAAATTTTTTTTTTTAAGAGACAGAGAGAGAGAGGGAGAGAGAGAGAGCAAGCAGGGGGAGGGTGGCCAGGGTGGGGTGGGGTGGGGAGAGAGAGAGAATAAGATTCTCAAGCAGGCTCCACACTCAGCATGGAGCCCGACATGGGGTTCAATCCCAAGACCCTGGGATCATGACTTGAGCCAAAAATCACGAGGTGGACACTCAACCAACTGAGCCACCCAGGTGCCCCAGAATAAAAAGTCTTGAGAACAATGTACAAGAGTGGAAGCAGAAGTACCAGAGAAAGAAGCAGTAAGATGGCAAGGTGGACCTTGAGAAGAAAAGGCTGGGACAAATAGGAATGTCACATACTAACATATGTGATATCTGATTAAGCCTTGCTACAACCCTGCTGAGTGCAGAATCTGTCCAGGTCCAAATGGATAACGTGTCGATGGCAAATGGACGGTGGGAATGCACTCAGGGCAGGCAACAGCTTACTTCAGTGAGCTCTTTCACTGTGGAACGGCTCTCCAGAGAGAAAAGTAACAATATAGAGCAAAGACGCCGGGGACAGAAGCAGCAGTAGGCTATGCAGAAATAAAATGCTTCTAAGGCCAAAATGTGCTCTAAGGCCAAAAACTAATAGAATGATGCAAACATGTTACATTGAAAACCAAAATTCTACCTCAAGGCGATCTGTATAGTTAACCACACTAAGCAAGAGGAAGATGTGGCCGAGCCCGAGGAGAACAGGGGAGCAGGATGCAGGCCTCTGCCAAGGGAGCCGGCACTAGGGGCACCCTCCCTCTCCCCACGCCCCACCGAAGCACAGGAGGCCGACAACACAGCGCCCGTCTTGTTGCGGGGGACCCGGGCCACATACAGGCCTCACTCCAGCAGCTTTCACTCCTGCTGCCTCGGCCTCCTTGCTCATGGAGTCCCGGTCAGACGATCGCCCACTGGCCATGCTGTCCAACGAATGGCAGGAGACAGCATTGTAGAGCGCCTCGTAGGGACCCTCCTCTTCAGCGTTTGTGTCAAAATCAATGATCAGTTCGGTCACTGCTTTCTCCACGTCACCTGAACAGGTTAGAGAGCAAGAGTCAATGGACGAGGGCACAATCTCAGATTTCCAACCACTACAACCACCCGGAGACCCTCATCAACCTGAACTTGACAAACAATAACCAAAAGCAGAAAACTACTTTGCTCCACGGACAGGAGAAAAGCATGATAGTGTGTGTTAGAAAAGGGTCTCCTTGAGTTTCAGTTGCTCTTTATACCCTGACACTTACAAGAGACTTTTCTCTAATTCAACACGGCAAATCCTTGACATCTATGAGAGACACCTCTCAAGACCTTTATAAATTCCCAGAACCTCAATACCGTGATAGAATAAACTTAAACCATAAAATGTAGCAAAGTGTAACTGGAAACTTAAGTAATCCTTTAAATTCTTAATAAAAACCTCCCTCTGCTCAAGCAAAATAGAGGACCGTGAAGCCTTTCTGACACGGAGGCACTGTGCAAGGTTAAACTCACTCACCGGAGAACTACCAACCTCAGAGTACCTGGGATCTAAATTTGTGACTTTGAAAAATCACCTACTGTTATGGACCAGCGATCTCTGGGTCTTTGGCAAACAGTCAAATTGTAATCGTAAAATCCTTGAAGGCCAAGAGCTTAGTGAACTCCTAAGCCCATTACTAGTGGATTATGAGGTCAAGAAAACAAGTGGGGGTGGTGGTGGAGGTGGGGGTAGCAAGGACTCCACAGCAGAGACAGGCTGAGCACCCTTTAACCTTATACCTCTGCTCTCCTCTGAAAAATCCCTTTCCCTTTTCAGTGTGTGGCTTTGTTCCGTTCCTCCAGCCTCCTGGCTTTCTTTACTGTTCTTGTATCTGAGGGAAGGTGTCAATCAGTACTTTGTCCTTCTCACTCATCACACCTAGGACCCAAAAGGCTGCTCAGTAATCTGAGGAGGTGGATTGTAGCTAACGACGGAGAGGCTGGACTGTCTAGGGAGTGCCCACACCACATTTGTTGGCCAAGTGACATATTACCAAAATCTGCCGCGTCCACATCTACCAACCAGTTGACACTCGTTCAATATTTAACGTGGGCCAACTATGCTCAAAGCATGACAGTGTGTGTTAGAAAAGGGTTTCCGTGAGTTGTGAATTCACCTGGAGATCAAACCACCTACAACACATCCCAGAAGAGACCTCACAGAGCCAAGTGTAAAAGTGGAGAATCAAATAAAGTAGGAAAGAAGAGGTCCAAAGTCAAAGGCCTAAGCTATGTCCAGTAAAAGTTCATATACTAGCTGGAAAACAAGACATTTGGATACGAGCTTATTAAGTGCTCCCAACCCCCTGAAATTATTACTTAAATGAAGATGCTTTCATTCTACCAAAGCCCATTCAACTCTTCAAGCCGAGAGCACCTGCGCTGGCAGAGAAAAGCCACCTTACCCTGAGATTTCTGGGGTATGGAGTCCATACTGGAGATGACAGGTCCCTGGGATGTGGGGGTTCTATCTGCCTCTTTTGCGCTTCTTTTTCCAGTCATGTGATCTACACGGGAAGACAAAAAAAAAAAAAGCTGCACCAAATACAAATGCTGTGGTTTGGCCAGTGTGTGCCCTGGTCGCCCCAACAGGCAGATGAACTGATACCTTCAATCAGTGCTGCTATCTGCTGGCTCTTTTGAGAAGGCAGTTCCCGGACGGTGTCTAGGGCAGTCAGTCCACGGTTATCTTTTATGTTGACATCAATTCCTAGAAAGGCATACCAGGTGGACCAGGGGAGTGAGCAGTTTCAAGTCAGCCTCAAAGAAGGTCAAATTCCAGGACCCCCAATGCCCCGAGTAGCATGATCAACATTTTTCGTCCAAAGCTATTTAATCCAGCTATCCAAGAACACTTCGTACACTTGCAATCAATCAGTGGAGACAGACATACATTGGGTTTGAGTGCAGCCAGCAAAAATCCCCCTCTGGGGAGGCTAGGGAGAAACGACCCCAACCCTGGCATGCTGTGTAAACAAGAGCGCTGCCGACCTCTCACCTGCAGCCAGCAGGATTTGCACCACATCGGTCTTGCCAAACAAAGCAGCCTCATGCAAAGCACTGCCCTTCTCCGTCTGGAAAGCAAACGAGAGCGCAGAGCAGCATGTCGTCAGAACAGTGACCCAGGTTTGGCGTGGCTCCACACGACAAACGGGACATGGACAAGAAGGGACGGGAAAATAAAATAAACCACACAAAGTTCTCTGTCATTATCTTTCCCACTTTTCTTGTCTGGATTCCGAAACCACAATCGTGGCCCATATGCAAAGTGTATCTGAAGTGCCACCATCAGGCCACACGTAAATAACTGCACAGTGACTCTTGGAGCCACCTATTGGTGAAACTCCTCAAAAGTCCACCTTCCCGGGTGGAAGGGATAATGAGAAGAAAAGTACATGGGGCAAAAAAACCACCTTAACTTCACACGTGGTTTGGTCAACGTGAAGCCTAAGGAACAGCCATTCAACCGAATGGAGAAAGCTAACACCACAGGGAAATGCTAAGTCTCCCGTTGGCAAGATCAAGTTGATGGGACTTTGCAGGAGGCAAGCACTGGCAGTGGGAACACCTGTACAGGAAGATAATGAAATTTTTCTGATTTTCAGAGAGAGTCCACAAGCACATCTTTTCAGGGCATAATGACGAGATATTACCCCTGAAAAGAAAAGAAAAGAAAAAAAAAAATATACCAGACTCACTTGAGGAGTCTGTCTCTGAAGTGTCACATCAGAATGAGTCAACAAATGGAAGCATCTGACACGTGGGGTGAAACGTGCTAAATAAGAACACAGCCCAGCAGCATGGTACTTGTGCCTTTTCCAAAATGACTAGGTCCCCTGGGCCCGGGGGTATGTCCGCCCCGCTACCTGGTAGTTGCTATCCATGCCGGCGTCCAGGAGGACCTGGACCACGGCTTTGTGGCCGTTCCTCGCTGCCAAGTGCAGGGGGGTGTGCTTCTTAGTGTTGCAGCTCAAGAGGTTGGGGTGTGCGTTCAGGAGCATCTTCACCACCTCCAGTCTCCCGTACAGCGCCGCCAGGTCCAGCGGTGTCTCAAATTTGTTGTTGCGCATGGTGGGGTCTGTTAGCTCCTCTAAGAGGACCTTCACCACCTCCGTGTGGCCGTACTGCGCTGCACAATGCAGGGCCGTCTCGTTGTCGTTGTTCTAAAGAGTTAACAAGCAGATCACATCAGAAAGGTAACTGGCCGACTGGCATACGACTGGGGCAATCACACGTAAAACCACTGAAGTTTAAATGAGAAAAACAGCAGCAATATTTGGGGACTATTAGGTGTCAGTCAGAACCCAGACGTACTCCCCAGCCAACAAGCCCGACCGCTCCAATCAGCCATGTTGTGCCCCGGTGACTGCCAGAGGGGAGCTGTCACCTGCTCACGCATACAGCCTCCTCGTGTGTGCCATGAAGGAGGGGTCTACAGATTGGAAGGAGAGTGAACTAGGGCGTGTGGAGGGCCTCGGGCAGATGCCCTGGCGCCCGTGAATACCAACCATATCACTGCCATTGACTCATTCTAAACTTCAACTGGTTTTACAGTTTATGTTCAGTCAACCCTGTAGTTCGGATTCTGGATTCGTTGATATCCACTGCCTTACAAACAAGCTTTTTTGGAAGAGCTTGTCATCTGCATAGCTCCTTGCATGCAAATCAACCAGCCAACGATCACAGTAACAGAGCAGAGCACCAAAAATCACTCTCAAGGTATCAGCCAACAGCCATTTCCAGGGGAGGGAGGCACTTGAGCTCAGTCCCAGAGGAACATGGGGCCCGATGTCGCCCTGTGCCTGTGCCTACTCCAGGAGCCTGCACCAATCAAAGCATGCGGAATCTACAGTGCAGGGAAGTATTTCTTATGTCAGAAAGATTCAATCAGGCCCTGGAATGTTTTGTGAGAGGTGCAAAATATTCAAAGTTGTAACATGGCCGTCCAAACTCACAACCCCCATGGTCCTTTAATGCCAATTTTGTGTCAAACTAAAGGTAGAACCTGGGATGAAACGGGAGAAGTCTGTGCTTCATCGATCAGGAGAAGCAAAATGTTAATCATTCCAATTCTGCTTTTTCTTTTACCACTACTGACAATATATAAGTAGAGTGGGAATAAAGTAATTTCCGTGACCTCTCCTTTTTTAGATGCACTAATAAAATAATTCTCCCACAAGATTTTGAGATTCCTAAATTTATCCAGGAGGCTGCTGCCACCTTAGGGAAACAAAGCTTATGAGGTGGGTGTCCAGTAAGTCAATATTGTGCACCTTTCAGTGATCAAAAGGTAAAAACGAAATGTTTCCACAACTTCTTTAATTCTATTAATTACATTAAAAGTAACAGACCAGGAGTTACCCAAACACGCATGCAATTCCATCTGCTTTTGATCTGGCATTTGACTGCATCATTTTTTCCAGCTACGCCAAGTGTACCAGAAAGATCCAGAGGTGCTGGGACTGAGGCCCCAAAGGGCCAGAATGATAGCAAAGAAAAATTTTTTAATGAAATAAGGACAGATAAGGTGATAGCAGGAGGCACATGCAAAGATAAATGCACACAGATAAACAGAAGAAGCAGCACTGAGCTCAAACACGGCTCGAGGAGATTAGCAGCTGAGTGCAGACAGCCTTCACTGGCCACAGGACACAGCCCGTTAGCAATGGTCTCCTGTGATATAACTGCGCCCAAGGGGCAGATTCCACGTCAACCTAAAAGTCTGGAGGGAAGGGGAAAGCGGGCAGACAGCCCATCTTCGGGGTTCCTGGTGACAACCGGTCACTAAGACACCCCATTTGGAGTGCCCATTTCCGACTGAGCGTGAGGCCCTGAGCCAACTTAGAGCTGTCGCTTCACTTTCTCAGGATGAAAGGCAGCTACATCTACAAAATGCACAGGAGCTTTCTTTTCAGTGGTTCCAGAGCAGAGTGGCAACCCAAAGAAGCTTTAGGAGGATTCGCAGGGTTTTACATCTCAAGATTACCATGACAGCAGGGCCAAGAAAGTCAGCTTATTCTTATTAAAACTCCAATCCAGAAAAATGTGTTTACTCTGAAGCAGACACTGCTGTCTCTTTTACATCCAAGTTGTCTCCCAACAAGCAGAATAATCTGTCCTCAATTTTGTAAAGAGTATGCCATTAGAGCTTGAAGAACTCTAAGATTCTAAACTATCCAGCAGGAGGAAAAAAGAAAATCTGTTTGTTTGTTTGTTTTTTTTCAATTTTTTTTCGCTAGCGCTAAGGCAGCTACCACAAAGCTGCCTTACTGAAAGCAAGGTCTTGATCACTACCAAGCAAATTTCCTGCCTCTGTTAAAAATGGCCTAACCACATCTCTGCACAGTGTCATACTCAAATTCACACTGTAGAAAGCATCTTACTCATGCCTCAGTCTTGCCCGACACGGTCTGGTAACCATAATGCTCTTCAAGTCTGTGGTTACACCATCTCTTGACTAGTGAACACAGGCCATCACAATGAGCTCTTCCTACCGTTTCCCTTTTGAGCCCGACAACTTTCAGGGCTGAAAGTCATTAAGTGTTGATTCATGGACCCCTAAGAAAGGGAGGGATTCCAAAGGAGAGCACAGACTCCTAAAGACCTGGAATCCTTCTCTTTCACACTCGGAGCATCTCACACACTCAAGAGTTCCCAGAATCCTGTTACTATGTATTTGGACTGAGAAAGGAGACTAAGATCAAACACCCCAATTTTCCCCCAAAGTCTTTGCACAAACTCTCCATTCCTGCCCATCTTGAGACTCATTCTCATTTCCCCTTGCTATACTCAGTATCTCTAAGAAAAAAGATCCCAATACCCTTTACATATGGAGACCCCGTTTAATGCGTAAATCCATTATATTTATGTGCCATCTACATAACATACACATAAACTACAAGCAGCAGAAAACTATACAGAAACATTTCCATGGCTTTTCTCCTCTTGAACTATTCCAAGCCATCACTTCCCAGTGCTTAGACTACAGCCCAACTGTACTCTTGTCCATGGTTGATAGATACTTAAGTCAGAAACACCTAAGCTTCAGCTCTCCATAGCAACAATGGTATAGGTCCCAGAAATAGACCAAAATTGGAACAGAAGGACAAACTGAGCCTACTGAGATTTAGAAGACACAGGACAAACATGAGAACTGAGTCCCCATGGAAGAAGAGCTAGGTTTACTCTGTAGTGCTCTGGAAGGTAGAACTCTGACAGATGGAAGGTTTAGGAAGACAGTTATCAGCCAAGCATAAGAAACCAAACATCAGTGGCATCCAAAAAGAGGCAGCCAAGTAGTAAGACTGTTACCAAGAGAAACATACAAACAAACAAAGAAAACAAGGGGTAGATGACTCATCTTTCAGGTGAGAGAAAAGGATTTCTGCTCTGGATGGCAAGTTGGCCTAGATCAGGGCTTCTCCAACTGGCTTCGTTCTGGAATTACATGGGAGCTTAGAAGTAACTAAGTCCCACCCCAGACTTGCCAAGGTAGCACCTCGGAGGGTAAAGCCGAGGAAACTATTATTAAAAAGCTTACCAACCTAGCAGGCGGCAACTTGACCAAGCAATCATCTATCATCATAAAAAGTGAGATAAACTGACACCATGCACCTTGTGACGTGAAGCACTACAAAGGAAAGAATATAACATCACTCCTGTGGCATTCCTGCTAAAACTGTATATAGCTTGAATCTAGTCATGAGGAAATAGGAGACAAATGAAAACTGAGGGAAAGTCTACAAAATGACTGGTCTATATTCTTCAGAACTGTCAATGTCACACAGGTCTCTGGGCAATGGGTTAGTGTGTTCGGCTATTAACTAAAAGGTAGGTGCTTTGGTCCCACCCAGGGATGTAATGTTTGCAGTTCAAAAAAAGTCCATGTCGCGAAAGGCTAAGAAGGACTGAGGCATTGTTCCAGATTATGTATGATCCTGGACTGGATCCTGGACCAGGAAAAAAAATTGCTGTAAAGGACATTATTGAGGGAACTGGTGAAATATGAACACAGATTCAGTATCAGATACCGTGATTGTATCGATGTTGAATTTGCTGAATTTAACAACTGTACTGTGGTTATACAAGTGAATGCCCTTATTTTTTTAGGAAATACAGGCTGAAGTATGTGGGGTTAAAGGGTCATGATGTCCATGACTAAATATCAACTCATCAACTACAGCAACAATATACATATATATTTGAGAGAGAGAAAATGTGCATGCAAATGTGACAAAATGTTAAAAATTGGTGAATTTAGCTGAGGAGTATAATGCAGCTTGTGGCAGTGTTTTATAAGTTGAAATGTTTTTTCAAGACAAAAAGTTTTCTAAAAGCTTGCTAGGTGATTCAGATGCAATCAGACAAGCTGATCAGAATGTGAAGACAACTGGTCGAGACAACTTCCGGGTCTCTTCCGGCTCTAAAACTCAATTATTTTTAAGTGTACAGAAAAACAGACCTATCCTAAAACTAATTTGACTGTTGCTCACCTTATGATACTCAGATTAAGTTAAAGTTGCTTTAAAAGGAGCAAATGAACAATTTTAATAGTTCTACCTGCTAAGGATGACCTACATTCTGGACTGGTTTATGCTGACTTGCTGAAAAAGGAAAGGCTCCCTATGTCGAAGAGGAAGATGAAACCTCATGAAAACTACCTCTGCTCCCAGGAAAGGCACCTGAGACTTCTTAATTTCTACAGGTGTCTGATGAGACTTCGCACACAAATGTACTTCCACAAAACAATTCCCAGACACAATCCAGGTCAATAAAAACCCACTGAACCAGGAAAAGAGCCAGGGAGGTTAGATTTAAACTAGCTCAAGGAGAGTTTGCATTCGTAGCAAACCCCAAACAGCTTTATCCCTTAATGCAGTACACATCATTTGGCCCTTGGGCGGGGGTGGGGGGGGGGGGGGGGGGGGGGGGAGGGAGGCAAAGGCCAGTATTTCCAAAGAGAAGTTATGTTCTTATTCCATTTAGACCAATTTTCTTTTATGTGTGGGAAATCAAGGGATAAGAAAATGTGCTTTCAAGAACCAAAGACTTACCCTTTAATCAGAGCTTTATAAAAGCTAACTGAACTAACCACTGGGTGGGAAAACAGTCACTTCAAGGTGCCTCACCACAAGACAAAACCCTGAAGAGACTGAGTGATGTTTCATTAAGCATCAATCCATGAGTAACAAAGAATAAATTCCAAAGTGCCGTTTCAGAATATTACTAGTTACCAGATAGTTTTACTTAGTATACATTATCTTAAACTCCAAAACAATCCAGCAAGGTAGATGGTATACCCGACTTTACAGAAGAGGACACTGAGACTCACAGAAATTAAGTAACTTATTTAAGTCAACAAAACCAGTAAGTGGCAGCACGGAATTCAAAGTCAGGTCTGACTTGAAAGATTATGACCTTGACCCTTCAGGGTTTTCTCTACTATACCATGTCCAAAACAAGAAGAAAACTATGATAGGGCACCTTCCTATTTTGAAAATTAGAAAGCAGAATTTAGAGACAGTGGGCCAAACAAAAGCTAAGGTGTTCCACTACCCCAGATCAAATGCTGCTTCTCCACCATCAAGGTCCAACAGCTGAAGAAAATGGCCTATAGAGGCTGCCTGGATCCAGCCCACAGGGAGCTTTGTTTGCTAAATCAGTATTTCTCAAAGAATATCTGCCTTGCATTGGAAATGTACACAAGTACCTTATGTTTCCCTTCCCTGAGGCTATTGTATTCAGATCAAGTGAAAGGCAGCTACTGTGAATAATGCACTGACTCAACCAAACTCCAGACTGATGCCAAAAAGCAAACCTCACCTGAACGAATGAAAACTCGGCTCAAAACCAGCAGGTGAGAGCACGGAGAGAGGCTCACCATCACCAACCCACAAGCTCTGCCTCCCGAAGTGGTGAGGGCTGGAGGGGCCAGGCAGTTCATCACCAAGCATACCGAACCATTACTCGCCCCGGCCTCACAGGAGGGAGACTCGAGGCCAATGTCCTGCTTAGCCCTGCGACTTCATTTCCTATTTTGGAGCCCTTCCAACAGCCAAGAATGACCAAGCAGCGAGAGAAGCTAATGGCTGGGGAGAAGCAACTGAGGCTTTAAAGTCCCAGGCAGAAATGCACAAACTCAAGGAAACGAGGAAGGAGTTGCGATAGCTTTTAAGAGTAAAATGGAGTCACCGTGCCCCTGTCCCCAACATCTCCACTACCAGCTACTGAAAATGAGATTCCACTTCAAAGCAAAGAGAGAAAACAGACTGAAAAATTTTTTCATCCAACAAGTACAATTTAATCATTTTCTGTGCTTGTTATAAAGTAAGCTAATGTATTTGACATCTTGTCATTGAATTTTGAATTCATTTTTGAATTTAAATGATTTTAGCAATCACAATGATGAATTATGCATATAATATGGTTCCTTCTATTTTCCCATTTTGGCCATTTCTAAGCTTTTCAGACATTCCGGGAAAATCACCCAACCTTTCCAGAATTAGCATGGGTTTTAAAAATAAAACCAAAACCCACTGAAGTTGCAATTTCCCATTCCCAGACAAGCCAAAAGCAGATGGGCTGAAGCAGACAAAGTCAGGGAGACGATGAGGAGCCTGAGTGGATAAGAGTGGAAGCCAGAGAGGACCAAAGAGGGGGTGCAGCTTGGAGAAATGATGCAGAGAAATCCTGGCAGCAAAGTACACACCTTGGCATTGATATAAGGGTCAAAGGGGCCGTACTTTTTGAATTCTTTGATCTCAAGAGCATTCTATAAAAAGGAGAGGAAAAGAAAATGTGATGATAAAGTGGATGAAATACATCAAAGCAATGCCCAGCCCTGAGGGGGCCCAACACAAGAACAACTTGGATGTGCCTTCTGGGTGCTTGGAAAGGAAGTTAATGGGGAAGGCAGCCTTAAGGGCACAGCACACATCACCCCCTCTTATCCAAGCAACCAACTGGAACCACATTAATGGCTTTTAAATAAATCAATGTGGTACTATGACCTAGATCCATTAGGTCCTTCAAGCTACTGCAGACATCTTGCCCAATCCCTGCCCCACCCACCTGCCTGCCAGATACTCAAAACACCAGGCTGGTGTCCCACCTATCAACAGATACTCCAGGCGGGAGGCAGCTGTGAGCAGGACAAGCTAGCACACTCAAGTGGCTCAAAAATCCAAGCAGCTGTGTTCCAAGGCAAAAGTGAGCAAAGACAGGATTAGAAATGGTTGCCGAAAATTTCTTAAATGAGAAGGACTTTAATGGGTGACTAGATTTTTCAACATTGAGGAATATTAGTTAAAAGCAAACTTCCTTGTAAATTTCCTCCAGATAAGAGAAATTACAATCACTTTAGCCAGGAGGAGTAAAACTGCATTTAGCTTCTAAAGAGGCAATTCTAGAGACAATTTTCATTCCTAATGTTAGAAAACAAACATCCTCATTGATGATCTTAAATTTCTGTTGCTCACCTATCCAGAAAATTTAGCCTAAAAGGGGAAAGGGAAGCTGATGAACAGCTACACACGTGCAATCTCCAAATTGAGAGATTTGGGAGCATCGCTTTAATTTTCTCAAACCTCAGAGTGGAGCTGCCCTTCTCTGAGTCGAAGTCAAGCTCTTAACAGCTCCCTGAGAATATGCAGAGCTTTGCTGATAGGCTCGCAAGAATGGTTTCTTATTTTTTGAGGAACAACCCTGATCTAATTCCATAGGTAATTTAACAACCTCCTCTCAGCAAAGTCATTAGGCAAATAGTCCTGAGCTTCCTGAGAGGAGTAGCATCTCTCCCATTCAAGCAACCAGGAAAAGAACCTGCTTCAGTTCAGAGCAGACAGGAAACCAGAATGGCTTGTCACACAGGGAAAGCCTGTCTCCTCTCAAATGGACACACACTCTCACATCCGAACTACAAGAAACGGTATTTTATGAGAGGATTGTCTAGAACTTGCATAATGCAAGTATAATTTTTTTATTTTCTAAGAATGATCTCTGCTTTTGTCAAAGCATGGTCACTCTTAAATCCACATTATGGGACCTCATGTAACTAGTTTTCATTCTGTTGAATCACCTCTGACCTCCACTCAGATGTTTTTGTGAGCTCCTTTTTCAGCACCGGCACGAGGCCTTCCACCTCTGCCAGTTCTGATGTAGGTAAAACAGCAGCCAGGTTCACACAGTACTGAAGCACACGCGGCAGACTGCTGTGTACCGGCTAGAGTTGCACTGCCATGTTGATGGCATAAGCACAACTCATAATTAATTGAGCCTGCCAGTTTGGAATGGCCTCGAAACAATTTCGCAGGATTTGCATTATTTCCGATTTTGCACAGGAGGTGTTTAGATTTTTATTTTTATAGCACTACACCAAATCTGCACGTTCAAAAGCGTGTAAAGTACATCCTCGGGGGTGTAAGATCCCCCTGATGCATTGGGAGAAGTGGTGCTGGCAGGAGGGGAACCATTTGTGGGGCCTGGAAGAGCTGGTTGCCTGAGCTGTACACACTATGGAACTGAAACAGTGCTGGGGCCAACGTCGGGCTGTAGCTGAATGGAAGAATGCTTCTCTTCCTTCCGACCTGCTCATTGACTCTGGTGTGTGAGGGCCCTTGATGGATGAGCAACCGCACTATCTGGGCATCTCCTTTCCAGGCTGCCAAGTGCAGAGGGTAACAGCCTTTAGAATCGGCCACATTGGTCAGCGCGTCGTTCCTCAGAAGAACCTCAACCACATCCCTAGAAGGCAAAAATCAATCATGAGTTTGCAGAACCAACAGCTCTTTACATTTGTGCAGCACAAAGCCCTTTCACAGATATTCTCTCACGTGGCTGCCCTCTCTCTACCTGAGCTCATCACCCAGTCTCTTCCTTTTATGCCATGAGCTACTTGTACAGCTGCTGATACGAGGCTGAAACACCTTCAGCTGAACTACAATGACTCATCACCTCCCCATCTATCTAGGCTTTCTAGACAATCCACCTATACTCCATTATTCTGAAAACATCTGGCCCCATTGTCTAATAAACCTTGCAATGTTTCCTTGTTTGTGATGTTTACACAGCATTCAGGGATAAAATTTACATAAAAGTAGTCGTGCAAGACAAATATCATTATTCACATTATTCAGAGCATTTAGTGATGTGGGAGCTAAAAGCAGACAGGCAGAGCAGAATTAAAGTTGTTGTGAACATAAGCCAGACACATCTGGTATCATTTGATACGTCAAAGAAGAAGGACTTGGCTTACTTCTTGGTGACACTGTTAATCAAGCTGATGCAAATGTAGAATTACCCCCATGCACACGAGGTCAAAGAAAACCCCCACTGTAAATAACAACGGCATCTGGAGTGAAACTTGGCTAACAAGTTGCAGTCACTTAAGTTCAAGATTCACTTTAATTCAGGTCACCCCACTAGTTATGGGGGCAGGGGGTTCCACAGAGTTACTGTCAGCTTTGTCTAAGACAGCTACAGAAAAGACATAATGATCACGTTCAATATACTTTAGAAAAGTGTAATGTACAAGGGAACGATCATCACCTGTTTTTGGCACATCAGAGTCAATTAGGCTGGGCCAAATATCACACAGGTGTTACAGAATCCCTCAAGGTGGTGAGGGCCCTGCTCCTTGCTCAGCAAAATCTAAAATGGTTCCAATAATCCCTCCTCATAAAAACTGAACCTCTACTTCTTATCTCCTGGAGTATGAAGCCTCAGAATCTCTATAACACCCTCTGTTCCGTTACACTTTGGTTTCCATTCTTCCACATCCTGGCCAATCTACTCACTGCATCCACTACTGTGCCTGCCCCGGGGCTGAGCCGTCACATTCTCTCTCACTTGAAAGGCAGTGCCCTCAGGGAAATGCTGCCAAACCATTTGAACCTATGTCATCTTCTCTCAGACTCCCCCTGAAGCACAGCTTCTCCATAAAACCTGCTGCACAAACCCTCCCCTCAACAACTACTACCAATACCTAAGAGAATTAAATAGGCCATATGGATTATGTACCTTTCCCCTTAAGAATGGTTCCTGTTGTCTACCAGGCCTACTTTATGAGGCAAGAATGGCAGGCAAGAAGACAGAGTAAATAAATAACTAACTCCTTTAGCAGAAGGGACCAGCCAATCTATTTTCAGTTTACAAAGGTACTGGTTACCTAACAGATTACCCAGCCCCTTTATGACCTGGCTGCCCCAAATGTGACCCTCATATTCAGGTCATTGTGTGGGACTGCACCATTTCAAAACAGAAAAGGACAAAGAGAAGAAAAAGGTAAAACTTAACCTTTGGTTGGAGTTTTTTGGGGGTGGAGTAGAGAAGGATGCCTAAATTATACACTGAAGAGAGACTTGGGAATTCTGGATACACTAAATTTAGTTTGTTTTTCCCTGTTCCTCAACACTACGGCTTAGTGATCCTTTATAGGAATCAAAAAAGACAATCCGAAAGCCTGGGTTCTGAAGGGTCGGGTAGGAATGTAGCAAAAAATACTTACTTATGGCCATTCAAAGCAGCATGGTGTAGAGGTGTGTACCCAGTGCTGTCAACACAGTTCACGTTTGGCCCCCTCCAGATGCTATAGAGGAAGTAAAGGGGAAAAAAAAAAGTTTAGAGCCAGCTAGCTACTTAGAAAATAATTCTCTGTGGTGTTTAACCAAACTAGTTACAGTCACATGATTCCCAATAAAGGACAGAGGCTATTTACGACAGAAGTGAACAGCACTGAGGACACACGATCATTTGCAGAGTCAGGTGTCAAGACAACAGTGTCATCATTTAAGAGCTTGCTCTTCTGTACCCTTCTCATCATTTTTACTTTTATTATTTTTTAAAATTGAATCCATTTTCTCTTCTGGCATATGTTTGAACTCTGCTCTATGATAAGTCATTTCTGCTCTATGATAAGTCATTGAAGTGTTACTTTTTTTTTTGAAGTAAACTCTATTCCCAACATGGGGCTTGAACACACAACCCCAAGAGCAAGAGTCTCATGCTCTACCGACTAAGTCAGCCAGGTGCCCCATGTACCCTTCTCACGTTTAACTACATTATTCACATAGTCTGGGAATCATGCCTCTGAATACTTCCAGGATTGTAAGAACAGTTCATTAAAAGGCCATCAAAAGTATCACTGAACCAACCATTCAGCCAGTCAGAGGTACTGGACACCCATCTCTAAGCTGGTGACTGAAGACTCAAGACTGACTCAACACAGACCTACGGATAATCCAGATGAATTAACCAGCAAGAACCAAGATGAAAGAACCCACATTAATAAAAGCACCAAGACACATGTGTTAAGACACAAGAGACAACTGGTCTTTCCTTTGTGAAGGTCTTATTGCTAAAAAGAAGAATAACAACAAAATCTGTAATGTGAATGCCTTATTTGAATCAGAAATACTGCACTAGGAAGGCTGCAATGTCATCTTACTTAATCCTCAAAGTCTTAATTCGTACTTCTGTTTCACACCTTACTCCACTGGCCAGAGCTACTAAAATAATATTAAGTAGTAGAGGGCTGCCTTGTTTTGTTCTTGCTTTTAATGAGAATGCCTCTATCGTTGGTAGTCTGTATGAGGTAAACACTCTAACATGTAAAGGAAGTATCTTATTTTTCTTTTCCTTCTAAAAATGTTATTAAAAATAGTTGTTTAGGGCCACCTGGCTGGCTCAGTTGGTGGAGCATGCAGCTCTTGATCTCGGGGTTGTGAGTTCGAGACCTATGTTGGGTGCAGAGATTACTTTAAAAAAATTTTTTTTTTTTTTTTTAAATAACTGTTTAATTTAAATGCATTTTCTGCATCGGTGAAAATAATCACAGTTTTTCACATTTAACCAACTAATACGTTATTATCAATATGTTTCCTAATAATGAGCCTTTCTTTCATTTCTGCAATAAAACTTACTTGGCCATTATCCATTATGTCCATCTTAGTGAACTGTACTTAAGAGTATCTACTTGAGACTATTTTACTTAGGATTTTCACAACTGCATGCATAAATGAGGCTGATCTAAAGTTTCTGCTTTTTGTGTTATTCCTACTAGATGGGACAGGTGTTAGGCTTGGCTCACAGATCAGCTGGGCAGCTATTTACCCACTTCTGTATTTAGGAATCACTGGCATAGAGCACTAAAATGATAAAGAATCACCAGTAAACCATCTGGCCCCAAAGACTTTATGCTCAGATGTTGGAGGCTGCATTACTTATAACAATAAAATTTTGGAAATAGCCCAACAGTCCATCAATAGAGAAATGATTATGATGAAGAACTACAGTACAGAGTAGAACACCATATTTATATGCTTATATTGCTATGTAATAATAAAAGAGATGAGAGTGCCTGGGTGGCTCAGTCGGTTAAGCATCCGACTTCGGCTCAGGTCATGATCTCACAGTTCGTGAGTTCAAGCCCCACGTCGGGCTCTGTGCTGACAGCTCAGAGCCTGGAGCCTGCTTCGGGTTCTGTGTCTCCCTCTCTCTCTGACCCTCCCCTGCTCATGCTCTGTCTCTCTCTGTCTCAAAAATAAATAAAACATTAAAAAAAATTAAAAAAAAAAAGAAAAGAGATGATAGTATAATGTTAAAGACAGAAAAAGAAACAAAGTGGTTAATACTGTATAGAAAGAATCTATAAGCGAAACTAATCAGGATAGTGGATTCAATGCATAAGTTTACTCCATCTCCTGTCTAAAGTTCTATGAAGTACAGAAACGAGTCCTACCCCTACACCACAGACGGGTAATAGACAAACAGAGTCAGACAAGAAAATAGGAAAAGATTCATCAAGTAACTGACAATGTTGAGAATTCCTAAAAAGCAGAAATCAGACAAGGTCAGCTCTACAGAGGCAGAGCCTGGAAGAATGAAATTAAAATAATCACACACTGGGGTGTCTGGCTGGCTTGGTCAGGGGAGCATGCGACCCTTGATCTTGGGGCTGTGAGTTCAAGCCCCACACTGGGTGCAGAGATTACTTAAAAATAAAATTTTTTGAAATAAAAGAAAGTAAAATAAACATACACTACTTTTCACCAATCAGACTGACAAAAATGAAAACAAAGTGTTTATAAAGATCAGGAAAACAAGCACTCTTCTATACCACTGGTATGAGTTTGAATTGGTGAATTCCTTCGGGAAGACAATTGGCAGGATCCACCAAACCAAAAATAGGCATTCACTCTGAGCCAGCATTTCCACTTCCTGGCAACCATTCAACAGAAACACTTGTACACATGCACAAAGACACACGCTTGTACAGGACTCTGCTTCACCACCAGAGCGAAAACTAAAAACTTCATGTCCATCAGTAGGTGGGCAGTTAAATCTCAGGTGTGCCCATACGAAGAATTATATAACCATTAACAGTAACAACAAAGGAAAGAAAACAAGTTGGACCGAAGTGTCCTCACATGGAAAGATTTCCCAAGATACACTGTGTTAGGGGAATGTGAAAAAAAAGAAGGCATCGTGTAGTACACAAAACATGAGCCCCTGCTTTAGCAATGTGTATGTACACGTACACACGATGGATGGTGATGTGAAGAGGGCTCGCCAAGTGTTGACAGTGGTTCCCTCTGGGAAAGGAAATGTGTGCTGGGGGAACCTACAGGTGATGAGGAGGGACTCTCACATTCTGCTCTGTATTCTACCACACTGTTTAAAACCCAATGAGAATGCATTCATGTATTTTTATAATAATTTTTTAAAAGAAAGAGGGGAAAGAATCTATGCATAGGGAAAAGAAAACCAAGAAAAACATCCAACTGTTAATAATAAACGGTTGAACATATGTGATCTGGGCCGTTTGAATGGGCATGTCTATATTAGGTTTAAAGCCTTGACATACATTTTCAGTGAAAAGAGAAGATACACATGCTTTGATATCTAAGTTATTTGTTCGTTGTCAATTAAGGATGCTGTGACAAGGTCAGGAGCCTGAGGTACATCCTGGTAACCCCCATCCTCCATTAAGCTTGGATTCCTACAGGAACTTCCAAACAAAGAGTTAAAAGCAATCATACCTCTTTGTCACCCATGTACGATAACCTTATTTTCTAAACCGAAAACTGTATGCCTATGCCTGACAACGGTGAGGACGGCAGTAAATGAAATGGGTCTGGAAAACCTAAGAGGTATGGTTTTCATACTTACTTTCAAACTGACCCACCAGACAACACATCATCATTCCATTAAAACACAGGTGACACCTAAGAATCAAAAAACAACTCGTTTGCCCCAAATCAGTGGCAGATCCAAAACTCCCATTTATAGAGTTCTTGCCATTTGGCCAAACAAGGACTTGACGATCTAACTGGGATGACAGGATGAGGTAAAGATGCATCAGTACAAGGCTGGAATAATAATCCGACAGCAAGACGACCGGAATAAAGCAACAGGGCTGGAAAAAAGAAAATACCAATAATGGGCCACGCAGTCAGGAACACAGGTTTGGCAGCTCCTCAGACCCCCTCAGGAATGTGCCAGCTCATTCCAACGATCTCAATCCAGGTCCTGAAGTGACCTGAGAACTAAGCTTTAAACTGCCCTTGCTTTAAAAAAAAATGTTTTTTTGAATATTTATTTTTGAAGGAGAGAGAGACAGAGTGTGAGCAGGGGGGAAGCAGAGAGAAAGGGAGACACAGAATCCAAAGTGGGCTCCAGGCTCTGAGCTGTCAGCACAGAGCCCGACGTAGGGCTCAAACTCACAAACTGTGAGATCATGACCTGAGCCGAGGTCGGACGCTTAACTAACTGAGCCACCCGGGTGCCCCCAAACTGCCCTCCCTTTTAACAAAAAAGGCAGGACTGAGCATGCTCTTTCTCTTTCTAACTTTTACCTCTATGTCTCTGGTTTAGAGGTGATTAAGCTTGGGTGTCCTATACTAGCACTAGAACTCCCTCAACACGATTTAAGAAGACAAGGAAGAAAGATAAGGACTTTCCTGCATTCAGCGGCAACATTTCCAACTAGTAAGGTCTTCCGCCCCTCCCCTGTTTTTTCTCTAACTAGCATTTTGTCTAAATGCCCATCTAGAAATCTGAGGAGATGGGGGCTATATTAAATAAAACCTAAATGAAAACAGAGAACTGTAATCTCTCTGCTTAGAATTTTAGCTTCAAACAGGATGGTAACATCCCCCTCCACCCAAGTGGCTTCCTTTTTGGCAGCCCAAGAAAAGAGCTATTTACAATCTGGGTCTTCCTCTCTATCACAGCTGTCCTGTTAGGTTTTTCTAAGACATTAAGTACCAAAGGGCTGCTCACCAACAAACAAAGGCAAAATAAAACACGCCAAGAAAACCAGAGGGGGCGAAAAACGGTCCAGGAGATTCTTAAAGTTTAACCTATATAGATCGTACAGAAATGCAATGGCTGCCTTCGACTTGTAGAACAAACCGTCGCAGTATCCTTGATGGGTCTTAGAGGAGTCCTAGCAATCCGGCATGAAGCAACTGCACAACCCAGGTGAAAAGCTGAGGCTCCATAGTTAGCCCACCTAAGTTATTCAAAACTTGCCTCTACCACTGCCAGTTGCAATGACAAGTCACTTAATTCTCCAGATCTTTCTCT